ATATATATGTGCTTGGTTTAATAACCATCTCCTTATTTATGTCATCGTTTGAAGCTTTCACTCTCATCTAAAAGCCACAAAGATCATCAGCAGAAAAATATTTACCACAGAAGGATATGATGTGGCTGCTGTCTGCATGCACAAATTTCCTTGTTACAGCTTCCTCCATGATTTGTTTTACCTAAATGAGAGAAGTACACATTAAGACAAGTCTTAATTAGTCTAACTAAACTTAAATTTATAATGGCAAAGATGCAACATTAATCACAGGCATCGATGAGAAACTTTATGTCAGATGCCTTTAGCCATCAGTCTTTGGATACTGTAAGCTAGCGTTTTGCTACTTTAGCCAGTGTTGCTAGATATATGATCATTCTTATATTTATACAACAGGGTAATTCACTGTCTGATCGCGTGTGCTTGTGCTCTGTGTAGGTTCACCAATTACAACTCATCTTACCCCCATCATCATTGGCTGAGAAAGCACCCTCATTTAGCACATGTGATAGTTTGGGTCATACTAGATACAATAATTTTAAAGAGTACAAAAGTACAATATTTCATTATTTTCTATTTGGCAAACCTGGCTTTAACTTTAACTTAGCCTTTTGCTACTTTTTGCTAGCTCTTTATCAAGTCCTATACAGACTCCAAAGCACTTTCCATTTAGGCTACAGTCATTCACCTACACATACACATATTCACACACTGGCACTAAGCTACATTATAGCAGGCAGACTGACAAGAGGTGAGGATGCCATGCACCTGTGCCACCAGACCTTTTGACCATCCCCAGCAGGCAGGGCCGGTGAAATGTCTTGCTCAAAGACGCAATGACTGAGACAAATGAAATGGGGGATTGAACCAGAAACCCATCCATTACAGGGCGACTCCCCTAACCACTCTGCCACAGCCACCTAGCATTTTACCACTTTGTCAATTAGTTGGAGTTTTGCTCCCTTTAGCTTTTAGTGGCTTGCTTCGTTTAGCTTTAACAGTTTAGCTCTCAGCGAATGAGAAGTTTGCACAATTTTTCCCCTTTATCCTGAAATGCAACAATTTAGAAGTGTATTTCAATGAAGATAAAAACTGAATTACAATCCTGTTTTAAATGGTGAGTTGCACTGCTTCATGTGTCAGATTCCAAAAACACCGCATACATTTGCAATAATGCACCAAACTGTTGCTCAGTATTAGGTTTTTACATGTTCTCCATTTCTGCTTTAATTAATATCTGCTTTATAAACCAACTAGTACTCGTGCTCATCATTCTCTCAGTCAAAACAGAAAAAAAAAAACTCAGCTGAAAAAGATTTCTAAAGATGGCACTTTTGTAAAAAAAAAAAATTAAAATATATATTGATGTTATGATTCTTAACATTTCATTATAATTACTTTTATAGGGATGCTCTGTTTGGAGAATGGGGAACAACCCAGTCCAGAATGATTCATTTCAAAGGCTGCAATTTAATGAACTGATAAGTTACCAACAAAATTTGCTTTGTAACAAATAGCCATGTAATAATAAAAGGCAATACCTATAGATTAAATCTAAGCCCCTCCCTGCTGCAGAAACTGAGCTACAAGAGCCATGGATGTGTGTTTTTTTTTTAAGAAGCAATGAGTCACAGGTGAGGGCGAGCATGAACACAATAAAAAGTCTGGAATCACCAGGCTCTGTTTGCAGCAACTCAAACCCCTTATTTTCATCTTTTTTATAGGATTAAAATGAGCAGTTCAGATGTTAGCTGCGCTTTTTATTAGATTTATGTGTAAAAAGCCAACAAGTTGCAGTTTGGAGCTGAGGACGGGGAACAAAATAAAACAAGGTCACACCTCAGAGGTTTTTAGTGATGCTTATTTAAGTTGTTCCAATAAAATTAGCTCTTGCAATAGTGGAAACAAAAATCTGTGCAGGGCACTGAGTAGGTTTCTCAGATCATCATCACTATCGTCATCATTATCATCACCATCATCGTCATCACCAGTTCACCATGCAGCTGTGGGAAGCAGACCGATCTGCAGCAGCCTTTAACATGATCTGTGGTTTTTCTCATGCAAGATAAAAGGTGTGTGAGTGTGTTTTTATCACCAGCAGGCCTGTAAAAGCCCATGATCGGCACACGCGCGCGCATACACGCACACACGTACACTGTCTGTAAACATGAACCGAGATCAGCAAGAAAAAAAAAAAAAACCACGAACCTCCTTCTTCACATTGCGGAGCAGTTTCTGACGCGTCTCGGCCTCTGTCACGGAAGAAAACATGATGAATGATGAATCAGTTCAGATGCTGCTGGCGGGAGGAGATTAATGCTGATGTGCGGCCGTACCTCCCATCGCTCCGGGGCGGACACGCACGGATTTTACTGGAGAGACACAATCCTGGAGGGGGAGAAAAAAGAGCTATTACGAACAGCAGAGAGGTTCCTGGATGCACGACGTGTTCTCAGGGACTAAATTAAACCTATCTGCTATCTCACCGTGAACCACCACCCCTTTAAAGGGCCAACGCACACACGCACCAGGGGCGACAC